CGGCGGCCCCCGGAGCGGCCCTGTGGGACACCTCCACCCGCGGCGGTTCCGTCTCCAGCTGGAGCAGCTCCTCGTCGGCCTCCTCCTCCTCCTCCTCAGCCGGGGCCTCCTGAACAAGAGTGGGCCCTGGCACCGCCATAGGGGGGCCCAACCCGCGCATGCGCACGCCCCTCTCCCTCAGCTAGGCTCCCGCGCGAGACCCCATCGCCGCCCCTGGGAGACGACGGAACTTCCGGGTTAGACAGCCCGCCTCTATGGGCTGCTGCGCATGCGCCGAGGGGCAGACCCCAGTTGAGGGAGGAGCCCAGGCTGGAGAGTCAGGTAGAGGCAGTGGAGGGCAGTGTTTCAGGCCTCTTCCACACAGCTGCATCAAATCCCACATTTTGTGCTTTGCACTGGAATATATGGCAGTGTGGACTCAGATAAGCCAGTTCAAAGATCTCAGACAAGCCCCTACATTGGCAGTCTTCAGAAAGAATCTGAAAACTTGGCTGTTCCGATGTGCCTTTTCAGATTAGGAACCTCCAGCACCAAATCCTAGAAGCACTTTAGTAGAACCAAGATCACTGCACACTGCACTTATATTATAATCCTACATTCCTCCCGCCACATCAGCACTTTTAATCTTGTACCCCTACTCTTGGCCGGCCCAGTTTTAATAGTGTCTTGTTGTATTGTTACTGTTACTGTTTTTCCTGCTTAACTGTTTTTAATTTGCTTTAGGTATTCTATTGTTGTATTGTGTTTTGGGGCTTCGGCCTGTGTAAGCCGCATCGAATCCCTTGGGAGATGCTAGCGGGGTACAAATAAAGTAATAATAATAATAATATTGTGGGATTTTCTGCCTTGACATTCTGGGTTATATGACTACTAGCCTTCCCCTGCCACACCTTGCTGTGGCCCAGTCTGGTGACCTGGAAAATAATGAGAAAGTGTTGGTTTCTAATTTGTGTAAGTTCTTTATGCTTGTGGGTAAACAGCATTTCTTGTTGTTTCTTTGTCAGTGCTGATATAGAGATTGTCTGGTTTGCCTACTCTGGAATATGCAACATATCATTGTCCTTCTTTAGGGGTCCCTTTCAAATCTATGATACTATATATCTCTGTGTGTGTGAATCATATATATATCTATGGCTGGATGGCTCTTTGTCAGGAGGGCTTTGATTACGTTTTCTTGCCCTGGTGAAGGGAGTTGGACTGGATGGCCTTAAGTGTTTTCTGTTGGTCATAGGGGTTCTGTGTGGGAAGTTTGGCCCAATTCTGTCGTTCGTGGGCTTCAGAATGCTTTTTGATTGTAGGTGAACTATAAATCTCAGCAACTACAACTCCCAAATGTCAAGGTCTATTTTCCCCAAACTCCATCTGTGTTCATATTTGGGCATATGGAATATTCGTGCCAAGTTTGGTCCAGATCCATCGTTGTTTGAGTCCTGTCATATACCTATGTGTGTGAATCCTATGTCTATATCTATAGCTGGATGGGAGTTGGACTGGGTGGCCTTAAGCATTTCTCAACCCCCAGCATTTCTCAACCTTGGGGTCGAGACCCCTGGGGTGTGTGTGTCAGAACACAGTATTTTCTGTTGGTCATGGGGGTTCTGTGTGGGAAGTTTGGCCCAATTCTATCATTGGTGGGGTTCAGAATGCTCTTTAATTGTTTTGTTGTTGTTGTTGTTGTTCATTTGTTCAGTCATTTCCGACTCTTCGTGACGTCATGGACCAGCCCACACCAGAGCTCCCTGTCGACCCCCAGCTCCTTCAAGGTCAAGCCAGTCACTTCAAGGATACTATCAATCCATCTTGTCCTCTTCCTTTTTCCTTCCATTTTACCCAGCATCATTGTCTTCTCTAAACTTTCCTTTCTTCTCATGATGTGGCTAAATTACTTCATCTTGGCCTCTACTATTCTTCCCCCCAATGAGCAGTTGGTCTTTATTTCCTGAAGTATGGACTGGTTGGATCTTACTTTAAAAATACCCCTCATATAAGGTCGATGTAGACGCATACAGTGTTGTTGAACTCCATTCTGGGATATAGGGCTGTGTGGAAGGGCCCTGAGTCCACACTGCCATATATTCCAGTTCAAAGCAGAAAATATGGGATTTTACTCAGCTGTGTGGAAGAAGCCTGTGATATAGGGCAGTGTAGATCCAACCTGAGAGCAATGAAAATAAATTCTTGTGTTTTTGAGCTGTAAATTGGCGCCCTCTTGTGATATTTTAAGAATAGGACATCCAGGATGTGCTTTTATTTTTATTTCCATTTTCTGCTGAAAGCTCAATCAACTTCCAGTCTATTAAAATGGGAAGACATTTTATTTTTGAGCAGATATAGAAAGACACTTCAGTTCTACACCATATTATTCTATTTTCATTTTGATGCTGGGAGGTGATTGAGCAATTGGATTCTTAAAATAGGGAATTTAAATGCCCCTATTCTTTGCTGGAGCTCTTATTGTTTAACTTTATAGCATCTTATAGCATCTTATTGTTTAACTTTATAGCATCTTTGATGCCATAAAGTTAAACAATTGTTGCTGTTATTTACTATCAGATCTACATGACCATATAGCCCAAAAAACCCTACAACAACCCAACGTCTATTTAATTTGTGTGTGTCTGTGTGTCAGGAGTGTCTTGAGAAACTACAAGTCGCTTCTGGTGTGAGAGAATTGGACGTCTGCAAGGATGTTACCCAGGGGACACCCAGATGTTTTAACATCCTGTGGGAGGCTACTCTCATGTCCCTGCAGGAGAAGCTGGAGCCGACAGACGGGAGCTCACCCTGCTCCCTGGATTCAAACCTCCAACCTTTTGGTCAGCAGTCCAGTCAGAACTAGGGTTTAACTCACTGCACCACCAGGGGCTCCTTCCATTTAATTAATTAATAATGTAGCTAAGAATTTGATCCTGGTGGCAAATGAAATGGTGTGATGAAACTTATTATATACATTTATCATAACTCATATACAACATGATATAGTACAGTATATTATATAATACTAATTGTATAATATACTGGTACTGTATAATAATAATAATAATAATAATAATAATATACAAAAAACTTTATTCATATCCTGCCCAGTCTTCCCGAGGGGACTCAGTGGTTTACAACAGATATCTGCAAACATTCAATGCTGTGAGAATCTGAAAAAAGTCAAAAATATCCACCCCCAAATCCCAAAAACAAATCCACATGTACATCAAAAATAACACATTATATGGCAATATTTACTAGTAATATCATATGTAATATATAATATGCAATTCTCATATTATTGTATATTATTTGATTGTATTATATTATTATGAAAGTAAAGATAAAGGTTTCCCCTTGACATTAAGTCTAGTTGTGTGGAGCTCATCTCCATTTCTAAGCCAAAGTGCTGGCGTTTCTGTAGATGGTAATGTGGCCAACATGACTGCATGTAGTGCCGTTACCACTGAAGCAGTACCTCTCGATCTACTCACATTTGCATGTTTTTGAACTGCTAGATTGGCAGAAGCTGGGGCTAACATCAGGAGCTCACCCTGTTCCTTGGATTTCAATCACTGACCTTTCAGTCAGCAGGTTCTGCAGCTTAGTGGTTTAACTTGCTGCACCACTGCAGCATGTATATTATTATATCACAATATATATAATACACTACCAATATATTATACTATCAGTCTTATATATTGTACCATCTCATAAGTTGTAGTATATATAATGGAGACCCTGGTGGTGCAGCAGGTTATTCCACTGAGCTGCTGAACTTGCTGACCAAAAGGCTGGCGGTTCAAATCCAAGGAGTGGAGTGAGCTCCTGCTGTTAGCCCCAGCTTCTGCCAACCTAGCAGTTCGAAAACATGCAAATATGAGTAGATCAATAGGTACCACTGTGGCAGGAAGGTAACAACACTCCACGCAGTCATGCTGACCATATGACCTTGGAGGTGTTTATGGTCCCCAGAGTCAGGCACAACTAAACTTAATGTCAGGGGAAACTTTTACCTTTAATTTTAGTGTATACAATATATCATACTATATGATATATATATAGTGGTATAATAATATATAATAATAATAATATAATAGGTAAAGGTTGTCCCCTGACATAAAGTCCAGTCGTGTCTGACTCTGGGGTGTGGTGCTCATCTCCATTTCTAAGCCGAAGAGCCAGCGTTGTCCATAGACATCTCCAAGGTCATGTGGCCAGCATGACTGCATGGAGCGCCGTTACCTTCCCGCCGGAGCGGTACCTATTGATCTACTCACATTTGCATGTTTTCGAACTGTTGGCAGAAGCTAGAGCTGACAGTGGATGCTCACGCTGCTCCCCGGAATCGAACCGCCAGTCTTTTGGTCAGCAAGTTCAGCAGCTCAGTGGATTAACCCACTGTGCCACCAGGGTCTCCATTATTTATACTACAACTTATTATATGATACAATATATAAGTCAACAAGCTCAGCAGCTCAGAGCTTTAACCCACTGTGCCACCGGGGGCTCCAATAATATAATACTATATAATATGTTACATGTGATATTACTAATAATATTGCATTAATGTGGTATTGTAGAATATAATAATATGCAATACTGATATTGTGCTATGTTAATAATATATATTATATATAATATAATATTGATATTATAATATAATACAATATAATATATAATAATATATAATGATAGACTGTTCTATTATTGTATATTTCTATATTTTAAGTTGTCATAATTTTGATTTGGAGCCACTTTGAGTCTCTGCATGGAGAGATAAAGTGTGATATAAATCAATCAATCAAAATGACAACTTAAGGGTATAACTTCAAAAATCAACCCAAAGTAGCCCCTTTTTGCCAGCAAATGTCCAACTCCATTTATTTCTCATTAATGAATTCCTCTCTCGCTACAGGTGAACTGCTTTTGCAATCTTCTATGTGCCTGAGGAAGTCGGCTTCGTCCTCCGATCCCACAGGGGGCGCTAAGCGTGGTCGCTGTCTCAAAAGTAGCTCTCTGCCAAATGAGCGGCTGACAACGAGTCCCAGCGATTGCGCATGCGCACAAAACTTCGCTCTCAGCGCCGGGCCGTTCCTCCTTGCTTGTTTTCCACCATGAACGCGGAAAACTTCCAAACCAGCGAGAGGCTGGTGAGCGCGGCCTACGTGCGGCAGGGCTGCCAGGGCCGCCGGGCCCACGAGCTGCGCCTGCGCACTCTACTGGAGCAGGTAGAGCCGGAAAGAGGGGGCCAGGGCGGGGGGAGGAATCGTGGGATGGGCCCAACTCCGAAGCCACGCCCCCGTTTCGGGCCACGCCCACCGAGGACCCCTGCCTGAACTTTGCTCCTCCGCGTATTTTGGACTTCATCTCCCAGAATTCCTGAATGCTGGCCAAGCTGGTTGGGGCTTCTGGGAATTGAAGTCCAAAGACCTGAATTTCCAGTTTGGGAATTTTGAGGCCACTTTAACCGCTTTAGCTCAATGCTCTGTGACCCTAGGAGCTGAGGCTCAGAACAAATAGTGGAATATTGTCGAAGGCTTTCATGGTCGAAATCACTGGGTTGCTGTAAGTTTTTCGGGTTGTTCCAGAAGCATTTTCTACTGACATTTCGCCTGCATCTATGGCAGGCATCTTGTGAGGTCTGTTGGAAACTAGGAAAATTGGGTTTATATATCTGTGGAAAGTCCAGGGTGGGAGAAAGAACTCTTGTCTGTTGGAGGTAGGTGGGAGTGTTTCAATTGGCCACCTTGATTAGCATTTAATGGCCTAGCAGTTTTCAAGGTATGGCTTCTTACTTCCTGGGGGAATCCTTTTTTTGCGAGGTGATTAGCTGTTCCTGATTGTTTCTTGTCTGGAGTTCTCCTGTTTTTGAAAGTTTTTCTTGATTTACTGTTAAGATTTTAGAGTTTTTTAACACCTAGCTCCAACAGACAAGTGTTCTTTCTCCCACCCTGAACATTCGACAGATATATAAATCCCATTTTCCTAGTTTCCAACAGACCTCACAACCTCTGAGGATGCTTGCCATAGATGCAAGCAAGACGTCAGGAGAGAATGCTTCTGGAGCATGGCCATACAACCAGAAAAACTTACATCAGGTAGTGGAATACTTCATGGCTGGCAAATCTCTCATTGTTTTAGCTCTGATGTATGCCTCTTATAACTCAATGCAAATTATTTAGCAGCTGCCATCATATTTATAGGTGCAGCCCAGAACGTCTTCACATACACATAGCAATGTAATAATACTAACATATTGTATATAATATTAATAATGTTGTAATATATATTATGTATTATATATACTACAACTTATGATATAGTATGATATATAATACTAATAGTATTATATACTGGTATTGTATTATATATATTGTGGAATAATAACATATTACAGTATAAAAATATGTAATATAATAATTGTATATTATATATTACATGTAATATTAGTAATAATATTGCAGTTTAGTGGTATAGTATGATATACCATTTTATTACTGTATATCAGTATATTTTAAGTTGTAATGTTTTTGATTGTGAGCTGCTTTGAGTCTCTGTATGGATATAAATAAATAAATAAATAAATAAATAAATAAAATACCAACAAAACATTATGCAAGACAGGACTGAGTTTCCGCCTGCCATATTCTGCATGTGACTTTGCTCATGTATAGACATCTAACTACTAGAGCCATGTGATATTTAATGGACACAGCAAGAATGAGACCTGAAGAGATTCCAGAGAAAATGGTCTTTTCTATGATGTAATAGTGATAGTGTTTTATTCACAACTGTTACCACATATTAAGTACAGCATCTTGAGGCAGGTTTCCTGAAACCAAACAGGGAGATGTATTACAAGTTATTGTTACTTATTACATATGCAAACAAATTATATTTCCCAGCAACATCAACCTGACATTTCCTCTTATGATCATTACAACATGGGTACATGCTTGTCCATATTCATTCTTTCTTCTTGACTGGCTTTCACATCCTTTTGCTGATAGTATCCTAGATCTATGCATTCTATAATTATCCTCCTCTTCGTTCCAAACTCATAATTGCTGCCATTAAAGTAATATTGCCATGTACTTGGCAATGCCCAACTGGATTATTAGGAGGTAGCCTAACAATGAAGGCCAATGTCACCATTTCTACAACCACATGAGAGTGACTGGCTCAAGAAGCACTCGTTGTGACTAAGACTATCCAGGCTGTCATAGTATTGTAGGGGTTGTCTACACCATTAAAAAAAGCATGTATGTACCCCTGTTATGGTGCTGAATGTCATTTCATTACAGAAAGACAATTTCATTACTGAAACAACATTTATTGATGTTGCTTAATGTGTTTTTATTGGTCTTTTGTGTTACTGCTTTATACGATTGAATGTTTTATACTATTTATTTGTCTTGCTTCATTTATTGTATTGTATGGCATTGAATATTTCCCTTTTTATGTTGTAAGCCGCCTTGTTTATCCACAGGGAGATAAGGCGGAATATAAATAAAGTTTGTTGTTGTTGTTGTTGTTGTTGTTGTTTCACATGGCCTTCAGCCCTCACTGCCCAAGGCTGCTGGTGCATTGCCAAATTCCCAGGATTTCATAACATTAGCCCATGACTATTCAAGTGGAGTCAAACTGCATTAATTCTACAGTGTAGAGTTGCATTCTTTGAGCTGACGAGTGTGACCGGCTATAGAATCCTGGAATATGTAGATTCATGAGGCATCAGTATTCTTTAGAATAGAAGGTTAAAGACCTTGTAAAACTATAATTTGTGGTAGGTTTCCCCTAGGAACACCATAACACAAAAATAGCTTGAAGTCATAGAACCAAAACATTCACAGGATAAATTTCCATAATGTTTACAGTCTCAGGAGTGGAGTTGGGAAACCTAGAACTGCTCCCACACTAGAGCTGAAAGAGTACGCATTCCATCTGAAACCCTGTGGCTACCTTCTGCAAAATTCTGGGGCTTGTAGTTTAGGGGAGGGGCCCATAAGATGCTTAGCCAGAGGGGTCCTGGGCCTTACTAAACTACAAGCTCCAGAATTCTGCAGGAGGCAGACACAGGATTTTAGCTGGGATGCATACTCTACCTCTTCTTTCAGCTCTAGTGTGATAAGACACTAGAAATGTTTGAAATAAGGAGTTGAGCTAAAACAATTAAAAAAAAACCTTTGTTGTTTGGGGACATTAGCGGGAGAGGTGAAGATGCTGCTGTCCTACTTACTTTCTACTTGGCTTGATCTAAAACACAGATTTAAATCTAGCATTTCCTTACCTGAATGGAGTATTAAAATCTTGCTGCAAATTAATTCATTAGCTAAGCCCTCTCTATCACCAACTAAATTTGTGGTATAGAAAAAAAATCTTCCCTAAAATAGCTGCTGGTATTTTAGGGTCCTCTATAAAGACTATCAATACCATCCTTCAGCTTTACATAACAGGAGGCGATGATCTCCAAGGCTTGGGGAGCACTGTTGGTGATTTTGGGGTGAAACATCCCCCTGAAAACATTTGGGGTAAAGAGTTGGGGATGAAGTCACTACATGTTTTGCTGTGACCGTCTAGGTATTTTTTGACAGTATTTCCATCATTCCTGACCATTGGATTATTGACAGGAGCTGATGGGAAGACCAACAATATGGTTTCTGACATCTAATCCAAACAAAAGAATAATTGCACCGTAGTGTGCATGTTTTAACTGTATTTTATTTCATTGCACTCTTTTTGAAGGGAAAATGTCCTGAAGATGGATGGGATGAAAGCACGATTGAGCTTTTTCTGCATGAACTAGCTATTATGGATAGCAATAATTTCCTGGGAAATTGTGGTGTTGGTGAAAGGGAAGGAAGAGTTGCCTCAGGACTAGTAGCCCGCCGAAATTACAGGTAAGTGCTAATCGTTCTCACTAATATACGAATCTACTTTAAATATTTAAAAAAACAAGTAACAGAACGAGCTAGGCAAATACCACTTAAAACAAAAGATTGGTACTCCACATTTATTGTCCATTCCTAAAATTTGCAATGCTGTTGAATATATATTTTTAAATAGGAGTGTAACAGATGGCTCTTGGTTGCTGTATCACAAAGTGCAGTTTGGTTGTAGTTTGTTTAGCACTTGCAGTTTGTGGATGGCAAGTGGAATGTCATGTTAAAAGATTTATGTCCATTTACAAACCTCTGAAAAATGCTCATTTACCAAATGACAGAAGCTTATGAGCAAATGTAACTTTCTTCATTAAAATCTTCCCTTTATCCATGAAAAAAAGTTGGGATAGGAAACACACACAGCATTGGTAATTGGCCTGTGCTGTAATTGGTCACATTGTGTGAATTGCTTTGAAAGACGATCAGCATTTGTTAGGGATCAGGCTTGTCGTATTTCCATTACACAGTTGATAATTGCTGCTGGAACTGGCAGAATTGCTCACATCTTAGGGCACTGATTGTGTCCTTGGATAAGAGCTAGTTCATGGTTGCCAAAATTGGATATCATGAAATTACATAGGTCATTTTCTCATCTTACCTTCTGTAAGTAATCCGATTCTTTGTGTGATTTTGCATACTTTTTAGAGCAAATAGTAATATTTAACTGTATTTTAATGTTATATCCACTCACAAATATTTAATTGTGCTTTCTTTAAAAAAATGTATTTGTCTTATTTTAACCTTTTATTCGTTTGTGTTATATGATTGTTAGCCTCCTTGAGTCCTATGGAGACAAAGATGGGGTAGAAATAATGATAATAGTAATAGTAGTAAGTTTTCCAGGATGTATGGCCATGTTCCAGAAGCATTCTGTCCTGACGCTTCACTCACATGTATGACAGGCATCCTCAGAGGTTGTGAGGTCTGTAGGAAAATAGGCAAGTGGGAGAAAGAACTCTTGTCTGTTTGAGAACCATGAAAATGAACAAAATCTGGCTACCAGTATTAAAAAAAACTCTAGAATCAGGACAGTAAATAAAGAGCGACTCTAAAAAAAACCCGGGGGAATTTCAGACAGGAAACATTCAAGGCCAGCTAACACCTCCCAACAAAGGACTCCCCCAGGTAGGAAGCAGCCAGGCTTTGAAGCTGCAAGGCCATTCAATGTTAATCAAGGTGGCCAGTTGCAACATTCACACCTGCCTCAAACAGACAATAATTCTTTCTCCTACCCTGGACATTCCACAGATATATACATCCCACTTGCCTAATTTCCAAAAGACCTCACAACCTCTGAGGATGCCTACCATAGATGTGGGTGAGAATGCTTCTGGAACATGGCCATACAGCCTGGCCATGAAAGCCTTAGGCACCACATAAAACTACTACTACTACTACTACTACTACTACTTATTATTATTATTATTATTATTATTATTATTATTACTAGAAACACAGCAATATGTGTCCACAGCAGACAAGATCACTCTGCTGGCTGCTGTATTGGATCACATGTCGGACACTTCCCAAGTGTCTAGGACTGTGTAATGTATCGGCGAATAATGCGTGCAGATCCCAGTAAGGTGGCCTTTTGCAGCTGGCAAATGGTAATTTTGTCAGTGCCGATTGTGTTTAAGTGCAGGCCAAGGTCTTTAGGCACTGCACCCAGTGTGCCAATCACCACTGGAACCACATTTACTGGCTTGTGCCAGAGTCTTTGCAGTTTGATCTTTAAATCCACATATCGTATCAGCTTTTCCAGTTGTTTCTCTTCAATCCTGCTGTCATCTGGGATTGCAATATCGACGGATCCATACTTTGTTTTTTAACACGATTGTGAGATCAGGATGATGATGATGATGATGATTATTATTATTCAACAGTTCTTAGCCAACATACCCATTGATGAGGCTAGGATTTGCAGATCTACAGCAACTGGGGAAATAAATTGGGTGTTGTGTGGTTTCCAGGCTGTATAGCCATGTTTTAGCATCATTTTCTCCTGACGTTTCACCTGCATCTGTGGCTGGCATCTTCTGAGGAAATAAAAGGGGTTGCTTTGAATGCAATTTTTCTGCTTCTTGGTAGGGGGTTGTACTGGATGGCCCATGAGGTCTCTTCCAACTCTATGATTCTGTGATTCTAAATGTTCATCACCCATGCCTTCAAACTTACGAAATGTTTCTTGGTTTGATAAAAATCTAAAAATAACTTTGTTGCTGCTATGTTAACAAATATTAGCTTACTGAAATTGCATTTGTGGGTAAAGAAACAAATCACACATTTCTCTTTTCCATTTCAACTTAATTAATTTTACAGTGGAACACTAATCAGAATTTTGCCTTTCCCTTCCATATATTAAACCAAAAATGTAGTGAACGTCAGTTACATGCAGAGATGTTGAATTATAGGAGTTGCATTTTTAAGTGATCCTTATGACAGATTAATTGTTGCTAACATGAATAAAATCATATTAAAATTGATTTTATTCAAATGAAGCAGAGTTTATGGATGAATTTAACTTTTAATAGCCTGAAGCCCTAGGTCAGCTGGCACTTGATTGGGCTACTTTATAATTTAGAGATGCTATAAACAATGCATTTTAAAATATATGCTTATTTTGCTGTTCTGAACAGTATGTAACTTTTGTTCCAGCTGTCATATCAGCAAAGTACTCCTTAAGTGTTGGATCAATTCTCAGCAATAGATTGAATACATTTTTTTTGTCTAGCATAGAAGTCGGTGATTATATGTAGTCCTTCTTTCCTTTCCATAGTCTGAATTATTTTCCCATTATATGCCTATCCTGCACCTGTTTTTGAATACCTGAAAGTAAATAAGACAGTTTGGTGTGTCTGTATGTACCTTCAAGTCGACTGTTAATTTCATGGGATTTTCTTAGATAAGGAATCCTCAGAGGTACTTCCTTCCTCTAAAATAAAGGCTGCAGTACCTGATATTCATTGGAGGGTCCCCCATCCATGTATTAACCCGGGCAGACCCGATGCTTTAATAAATAAGCAACCAGCACTCAATATCTCCAGTTCTTCTGACACGCACAAAGGGCACAGGGAAGATCTTAGAATCATAGAACCATAGAGTTAGAAGAGACCACATGGGCCATCCAGTCCAGCCCCCTGCCATGCAAGAAAAGTACAATCAAAGAACCCCTAACAGATGGCCATGCAGCCTCTGTTTGAAAACTTCCAAGGAAGGAGCTTCCACTACACTCTGAGGCAGAGAGTTCCACTGTTGAACAGCTCTTATGGTTGGGACGGTAGGTGAAATCTCCTTTCATATAATTTGAACTCATTGCTCCATTGAGTCCTAGATTCCAGGGCAGCAGAAAACAACAACAACAACAACAAAAATCTTTATTTATACCCCGCCACCATCTCGCCAGTGGGGACTCGGAGCAGCTTACATGGGGCCAAGCCCGGACAACATATTACAGCAAAACAGAAGCAAAGCAGAAACAACAAACAACATCATCAAAACTAAATAGAAAAAAGTATAAAATAACATTCCAATAAACACAATCACGATAACAATGGGCGGGCCACATGTACAAGATAAAACAATTAAAATCTAAGGAGATAAAAAATAGGAGCAGGTTATTTGCAGGGAACTCATAAAAACAAGCAGAGTTGTGAAGCTAAACTTCCCATTTGGAGGGCGTGTACTCCAGTAGCAAAAGCATTGAGGGGTGCAGTAATATCATGTTGTGCACCTACTCGCCAAAGGCGCAGCGGAAGAACCAGGTTTTAAGGTTCTTTTTGAATGTTTCTAGTGAAGGACTTTCCTGATCTCTCCAGGTAATGAGTTCCAAATGTCGGGGAGCCACAGAGTAGAAGGCTCTCTCCCTTGTGCCCACAAGACAAGCTTGTGAGATTGGTAGTGGTGAAAGGAGGGCCTTCCCTGAAGATCGAAGGGCCCGGGTTGGTACGTGGAGAGAGATACGGTCACAAAGGTAGGCGGGTCCCAAACCGTTTAGGGCTTTGTAGGTGATAACCTGTACCTTGAATCGGGACCAGAAAATAAACGGCAGCCAGTAGAGCTCCTTAAACATGGGAGTCGACCGCTCCCTATAGCTAGCCCCAGTTATTAATCTGGCTGCCGAACATTGGACAAGTTGTAGTTTCCAGGCCATCTTCAAGGGTAGCCCCACGTAGAGTGCATTGCAGTAATCCAGTCTAGAGGAAACTAAGGCGTGGACCATCATGGTCAAGTCAGACTTCACGAGGTATGGTCGCAGCTGGCGCGCAAGTTTTAACTGTGCGAAGGCCCTCCGACACCTGCGCATCAAGCGTCAGTGCTGAGTCCAGGAGAACCCCCAAGCTGCGGACCTGTGACTTCAGGGGGAGTGCAACCCCGTCCAGCACAGGTTGCCACCCAATACCCCGATCAGACAGGCGACTGACCTAGAGGACCTCTGTCTTGTCAGGATTGATCCTCAGCTTGTTCGTCCTCATCCAGTTCGTCCTCATCCAGAAAACAAGTCTGCTCCCTCTTCCTTTTGACATCCTTTCACATATTTATACATGACTATCATGTCTCCTCTCAACCATCTCTTCTGCAGGGTAAACATACACAGCTCTTTAACATGCTGCTTATAGGGCATGGTCTCCAAACCTTTGATCATTTTAGTCACCCCCTGCTGAACATATTCCTGCTTGTCAATGTCTTTCTTGAATTGTTGTGCCCAAACCTGGACACAGTATTCCAGGTGTTGTCTGACCAAAGCAGAAAAGGGGTAGTATGAAATCTTGATATAGACACTATTCTCTTTTTGATCTTGTGTAACTTGGTGTGTCACTTTCAAAAATATGAAACATGATTTGGTAAACATTGTGATCCCTAACTGTTTTTGGGCACCACAGCAGCTATTGATAGTCCCACCATGGTGACTATTAATATATAGGGGGAAACACTTTGCAGTTCCTTATATTTGGCAGAATTCAGTGGTGCTGAAAGTTTGGGGATCCATTCTCCAAGCCTTCGTATGAACTGGCAGATGTTCCATGTCTTCATCCTCTGTATGCTGTCTTCCACAATCCACATACATATTATCCATATACACCAAAGTATTTTACTTTTTTTAAAGGATACAATTCTGTGTTCTGAACAGTTGTGTTTATTCTTTCCGCTCTAAACAAAATTAAGGCATTCTGAAATTATTCCAGATTCTTCTTTGTATTGATACAACAATATGAACGGCTATATTTTACTTATCGTGTCAGGAGCAACCAGACGATTGTATTACATTTTTAACCAAACAAGCAAACAAACAAACAAACAGACAAAACACAAAGTTTGCAAGCTTGGTAGTTGATTAAATGTCCTTTGACCAGTAGCTGGCCACTTGGAGTGCCTCTGGTGTTGCTGCAAGAAGGTCCTCCATTGTGCATGTGGCAGGGCTCAGGTTGCATTGCAGCAGGTGATCTGTAGTTTGCTGTTCTCCACATTCGCATGTCGTGGATTCCACTTTGTAGCCCCATTTCTTAAGATTGGCTCTGCATCTGGTGGTGCCAGAGCACAGTCTGTTCAGCGCCTTCCAAGTCGCCCAGTTTTCTGTGTGCCCAGTGGGGAGCCTCTCATTTGGTATCAACCATTGATTGAGGTTCTGGGTTTGAGCCTGCCACTTTTGGACTCTTGCTTGCTGGAGTGTTCCAGCGAGTGTCTCTGTAGATCTTAGAAAGCTATTTCTTGATTTAAGTCATTGTCGTGGTGCCTGATACCCAAACAAGGGATGAGCTGGAGATGTCACTGCCTTGCAGCATGCAAGCAAGCAAGCAAAACATATGAACGGCTGACAGTTGCTGTATTGCAGTTATTAGCACTTAGAGGTCCTTTTCTACCAAATCTTAGAGCAGTAAGCACAGTTTTGCATTCTTTTGCTCGCCCACAGAAAATAGTAGTGCTAGCCTCAAAGATCTGCTATGACAGTGGTTCTCAACCTGTGGGTCCCAAGGTTTGACCTACAACTCCCAGAAATCCCAGCCAGTTTACCAGCTCTTAGGATTTCTGGTAAACTGGGGAGCCACAGGTTGAGAACCACTATGCTATGACAGGTCACTAAATGTAAGAAATCTCCTAGACCCACTGAGTGTTCAATAGCCCCTTTCTGGTTGGAGTCCCAAAAATGCAGTGGCAGCTGGTTAGTCTAAATTGCAATCTAGGCTTTAGGATCTCTCCAAGATGCTGAATTCTGGGGTTACATAGCTTCAGCACCTTGGAGAGATTCTTTAAAAAGCCTGCCATAGATTCGCTGACCTGCTGACATGGGAGCCATCAGACACACCAAGAAAGTATTGAGACTCCATACTATGGCTTATTGGCTGCATTTGAAATAAAGAATCACACGGTCTGTAGTTCGTATTAATTAATTAAGTACTTTTAAACAGTAAAAATCATAACATTGGCTTTAATGAAGATGTATCCCAAAACAAAATATAAGATTATGATGCTTGCTATAGAAAGAATATGTCAGTGTCACACAAGCTGACACTGTTCTGTTAGAAATGTAATATAATGGACTGGTTGCTCTGACACGACAAATAAATAAATAAACAAGCTGACATTTTCTAATTTGTTTCTTATTATTTACTAGCTGTCCCCTGCCACACATTGCTGTGGCCCAGTCTGTAGATGTGTTTTGAGTGTGTATATATTTATGTGTTTGTGTATATATATGTGGTTTTAAGCATGCGTTGTAATGTTTTTTTTTTGTTTGTTTTCTGGCTTTTTAAGCCTCTTATGTTGTGTTTTTCAGTGTGATGGTCGCTCACTGGCCTGAGAGGTGTATTGTGACCAAATGTGGTGTCAATTAATCCAGTGGTTTTTGAGTTACGTTAATCCCACAAATGAACATTACATTTTTATTTATATAGATTTACCGTACTCTATTTTTATCCCATCTTTCTCCCCATAAGAATTCAAGGCCGCTAACAATGACGTGGTATAATACAATAGACTTTTAAAATAAACAGTAAATATATGTATGCATACATAAACTATATAAAAAGTATTTGTGTTATGAGTGTAAAAGTTAAGATACAGTTAAAATACAATGAAAATGAGATTTAAAAACTAAACAGTTTCTTCAAAACCAAGCTCACAATATTTTCTTGTACAGTTAATATTCCTAAGAAACAAGCCTCAAACACTTCAGAGCAGATATTGGGAGCGGGGTGATGTAGCACCTCAAGGGTAGAGGAGGATCACCCTCTTCTTATCCCACCTTTGATAGAATCTTACAGTTAGAAAGGACTGCAAGGACCAACTAGTCCAACCCCAGGCCATGCAAGAATATACAACTAAAGCACACCTAAACCACCCAACCTCTGTTTAAAGACCTCCAAGGAAACAAATCACAACCACCCTCCAAGACGTTCTTTTCCATCATCAAATAGAGGCAATTATGTCAGAGAAAGAGGTTAATTGGATGCCATTCATAGCTTTTTAAAATATGGGATACAGCCCTTGGCATTATAAATACATATATGAAATGTTTTATGCCCTACCATTCTTTTTTGTTTCCAGGTTGATCCATGGGATTGGAAGGTCAGGAGATATTTCTGCTGTCCAACCTAAAGCTGCAGGTTCTAGTCTCTTGAACAAACTTACTAATTCACTTGTCTTGGATATTATAAAACTTGCTGGTAAGTTCAGGAGCCAAGTGCATGTTGTTGTTTTCAAAATAAATATCCCCCCAGGATTGAAAAGTCCTTGGTGTTGACATCTTACTTGCCTTTCACTTGCAGGTGTCAAGACAGCAAATAGCTGCTTTGTTGTCCCAATGGCAACTGGCATGAGTCTGACGTTATGTTTCTTAACCCTGCGGCATAAGAGACCACAAGCAAAATACATCATCTGGCCGCGCATAGATCAAAAGTCTTGTTTCAAGTCAATGATCACTGGAGGTAAAAATGGGTACTGATAGCTTTCATCAGACCAATTGTTGACCCATGAAATGTTTGTTTTGTTAAGGTGCATTTATTTCAATGCCTTCTCTGTATATCCTGACATGGTCGTTGTTAGAGTGGCCCAGTATTTCTGTGTTCTCAAAAAATATGCTGTGTCCAGGTTGGTTCATCAGGTGTTCTGTTAACCAACCTGGACACAGGATATTATTTGAGAACACAGAAATGTTGGGCTACTCTAACAATGACCATGTCAGACTACACAGAGAAGCCATTGAAATCCACAAGCATATGGACAATTTCAACAGAAAGAAGGAAACGATGAAAATGAACAAAATCTGGCTACCAGTATTTTAAAAAACCCTCTAAAATCAGGACAGTAAATAAAGAGCAACACTCAAAAAGCTAGGGAATTCCAGACAAGAATCAATCAGGGCCAGCTAACATCTTCCAACAAAGAATTCCCCCAGGGAGCAACAAGCCAGGCTTTGAAGCTACAAGGCTATTAAATGCTAATCAAGGTGACCAATTGCACCATTCACACTTGCCTCAAGCAAACAAGAGTTCTTTCTTCCACCCTGGTCCCTTCACACATATATAAACCTCACTTGCTTAGTTTCCAGCAAACCTCACATCTCTGAGAGTGTTTGCCGTAGATGTGGGGGAAATGTCAGGAGAGAATGCTTCTGGAAAATGGCCATACACCCCGGAAAACTCAGAGCAACCTAGGTTTTGTAGGTTTGTTCTTAAATTTAATTTGTTTATAAGATGGAAAAGACACATTGTTTAAATATAACTCCAGCTGTGTGTGTGTATATATATATATATTGGATAGTATAGAGAAGGGTTAACACACCTGTGATATTTGTTCTGCTGTCTTTGCCCCTGTTCAGAAGATTTCACATCATTTCCTGTCCTTGTGATAACTGGATTTTGAAAAATTTTGGCTTCTTGTGGAAACAAAGATTGGTGATTCAGCTTCAGCTGAGAGACGTTTCTCCCCTGATAACTCTTCCAGGAGTGAATTTCCCTCCCTAGGGGCAGATTTCTCTCACTCCTACTGTCTCACCTCCGTTCTTAACTAGAATCGTCTGTAAGGTGAATCTTTGTAACTCGGGGACTGCTTTCATTATCATATGAGTCTTATGGTTAAATCCCAGGTCATATTCTTTTCAAATTTGCCTCCATCATCTGGTCTATATAGGGAGATAAATAGAGGGATCAGTTAGATACACAAATAAAAAAAATATTTTTCTCTATCCTTATCCATATAAGTTTTCCATTACATCATCTAGAATACTATGGGTGTCCACATGCCATTCTCCTGGCTTGGTGATATAATGTTTAGTGATGTTCGTGTTGATTAATATTAGCTTGGAAGGCAACTGTTAAAATAAAGTCAAATCAGTGAAGGAGGCAAATAAAGCAATACAGTTTCAAGCTTTAATTGCAGATAGATCCTTGATACCAATCTTATGATGTTCTTTTTGTTGGCCTAACTAGGTTTTGAGCCTGTGGTGATAGAAAATGTATTAGAAGGCGATGAGCTGCGTACGGACCTCAAGGCGGTGGAAGCTAAAATCCAGGATCTTGGGGCTGATAATATTCTCTGTGTTCATTCTACCACTTCATGTTTTGCTCCAAGGGTACCTGACAGGTAAATAAATCCATACGTATATGTTCGATAATGATCATCTATTTCCTTTATGGGTGGTTAAGCTGTTGGCAGTGATTGTTTAATTTTCCCTAATATAGAGAATTGGGGCAATTAGAACAGTCATTCACTGAACTGTTCAAAACCTAGAATGGGATAGGGTTGATAGAAGAGCAGAAGGGAGCAAGCTAAGTAAAGCATTGAGGTCAGAAAGGGCCTCAATGCTTTACTTAGGACAAACAGTTCCTGGCCAGCTTACCTATCTGAACATATCTCCAACTACGAACCCCCAAGGACCTTAAGATCGTCTGGAGAGGCCCTGCTCTCGGTCCCACCGCCATCACAGTTGCGTTTGGTGGGCACGAGAGACAGGGCCTTCTTGGTAGTGGCCCCTCGGCTTTGAAACTTGCTCCCTAATGAGATCAGATCTGCCTGCTCTCTCATGACCTTCCGCAGAATAGAGTGTTTTAATGGACTGTTTTTAGCTGACAGCAATGGACGTGAAACGGCAATCTGTTTTAATATATTTATAATTGTTTTCATGTATGCTAAATGTATATTATACTTTGTTTTTATTGTTCGGCACCGAATGGTGTCTGTTGGTAGCCGTCCTGAGTCCCTCTTTGGAGGTGAGAAGGATAGGATAGAAATGCTCCTAATGAAGAAATAAATAATAAATAGGAAAGAAATACTGGAAAAGCGAATTGTCCAAAACAGTGTGAACAAGAGGAGACTTGAGGAAGATGCTGTATTCGGGAATAAAAACAATAACACAATTCACAGAAACTTGTGATACATGTGACCAGAAATTCATTAACAAATGTATATGTAGTAACTTGCAAAATATTTGATATTATCTTGTAATTGACATACAAATAATTGCCATGTTTATGTTCAGATTTCAAAGAATCTTGTATTTCAAATGAAGTAAGAGCTGACCTATGCAATCATTGTATTCACTTCGTATAACTCTTCTATCATTTCAGACTGAAAGTATAGAATTATATGCTTGAAGGCTCTCCCACATCAAGATAAACCCTTCTCCATATAGAAAAGGGTTCTAGTCTAACTTTTTCCTTGCCATGATGTCTTCATATTCAGGATTTTGTATATTCAGTTTGAGTTTCAATGCTACATTGCATCAGCAAGTATCTGCTAATAGGACAAGACCTCTTCCCCTTCCTTGCAGACTTCCACATCACCAGAAAATATCAGAGAAATGCCAGCTCTCCAGAGCAGATTTTGAGAAAGGTTCCAGAGAGGAGGAGACATTATCTCTAGTTTTATATTTGTGGAGATTTTATATGGCTGACCATTCTTCTCATGGTTTTAATTCTAAATTGAGGGAAAGAGAATCCATTGAGGACAAGGATTCGTTATTGGAACCACACTTTTGAATACCAATCAGGATGATCTGAACAAGCTTTTGTATCAGTTTTTCTCCCACATATTTGCAAAATAGAAAGTCGAAGTGGCTAGTGCTCTGGAAGTAATTTGAAGGGAATGTTATTCCAAAGAATAAATATGTTGCATAAATGAAAACTTACTTGGTTTAGTGGGTTGCTGTGAGTTTTCCATGCTATATGGCCATGTATTGTCAATGGTTCTGAAATGACTTCCGCTAGTTCCTTCAATACTCTTGGATATAGTTCATCTGGCCCTGTGGACTTGAATTCATTTAGAGCAGCCAGGTATTCCTGTATGACTTGTTTCTCTATTTGAGATTAGATTTCCCCTAATCCTTTGTCCACTCCATGTTGCTGAGGTTGAGGATGGCTTTCATTTTGTGAGAGGCAAAGAAGGCATTAAATAGTTCTGCCTTTTCCCTATCCCCTGTCAACATTACTCCATCTTCTCCTCACAGAGGCCCCTTTGCCTCCTTGTTACTAATTTTTCTACCGATGTAAGCAAAGAAGCCCTTTTTATTGTTTTTAACGCCCCTGGCAAGCCTGAGCTCATTTTGCGCTTTCACCTTGCAAACTTTTTCCCTACAGGAATTGGTTTTTTGTTTGAATTCTTCTTTGGTGATTTCTCCCTTTTTTCACTTCTTGTATATGTCTCATTTAAGTCTTAGCCCAGTGAGAAGTTCTTAGGACATTACAATAGAATAAGTAATTTTTCTAAGCTTTAGTCAACAGTATATTCTATATCATGGGATATAAATATAGTAAATAAATAAATAAAATCATGTTCCTGAATCTTGTGTGGCACAGGGTTTCAATGACAGATAAGTTCTGGAATGGAAAGCATACCTATAGAAAGATTTAAAACCACTGAAACAAGATAAGGATCACTAAGTTGAAATGACACCAACGACTGAATTGATTGGTTCACCTGATTTTTTTTAAAGGGCTCTGTGCCTCATTGAAGTGAATCTGTGCAGATTGACACACAGAATGTTCCAGAACTGAGTAGTTTTTGGCAGCAATCCTGCCCTCTTCAGATATGAACAAAAACAGGGCTACTCTCCTTAGAGCTGCTTATCATGGAGCTTACTGCACTGCAGAGCCCGTGGCAATATCCATTGGCTTGTGCTGTTACACATAGTTACAATCAGCTGCTTAAACTGAGCATGCAAGGAGTAGGATTAAGGATCTTTCCTTTAATGTTAACACAGATGAAAGGGTAGATCCCCTTTTCAGGGCTCATACCACAGCCAAGACAAAGGGTTTCCAACAAGCTATCCCTCCTTTCTGTAATCATAAATCCTATTGGAATAACTCTTCCTCTATCTTTTGTGCCAAAGCAAGGTCTCCTAACCAATCACACCAGTTGCCCAGGGCCCTTCCAAACAGTCACATAACAAAGAATATCAAGGTAGAAAATACCACAATATCTGCTCTGAACTGGGTTATCTGAGTCCACACTGCCATATATTTCAGTTCAAAGTAGATAATGTGGGATTTTATTCAGCTGTGTGGATGGGGCCCCATTCAGGAACCAACCACAATCCATGGCTCTCCTTGGCCTCTAAGAAACTCTTGTTAGACACAAAGCATCTTTGATAGCTGCCTCTTCCCATCCTTTTCTGTCCATTGTGTTGGAAAAGACCTTGCATTTTCTTGGCATTCAGCCTACTATACTCACCTTAAAGAAATGTCATTGACTGTTTTGATGCTATGGCAGTCAGAAGCTGGGTTTGCTCATTTTTTGCAGAGGCTCTCCAAATGTGCAGTTAAATTAATCGGTGTGGTATACCAGATTGCCAAGAAGCCTGAAGCATTGAGCCTCGGTTCCCACCCAACCTGCATATAGTCTGTACCCATGCCTGGGATGTCTATAAAGCACCTACTTGGATTCTGCTTCCAGTATTTAATCCAGAATATTGTGTCAATTTCAAGGCTTGAGTACTATCCTTTGGAAGAACAGTACTCATGTGTCTTCTGCTGGTATGCACCACTTTCTAGGGTATGCTAGCTAATCATTGTGTGAAGCACAAAGACCTGAAAGAAGAATTTGCTTATCTGTAACCCTGATTCTTTGAGTGGTTATCTGTGCCCTCACACAACCCTCCCACCCCCTGTCTTTTCTGCAGGTCTGGCTTACTATCAACAGACAGCAGAATGGAGGGGGAATAGCTCTTTGTGCTATTTATGTTTGTGTCTGAAGGGAATGGGTTTTCCATCAAAAGCTACTCTGTTCTGGAACATCCCATGTATAGATCTTCCCAGGCATGAGACCCATTTGTTTGATGACACAGGTGACTACTCAGAGAACTACAGTCACTGGTAAGGAGCCTACTCTTTTTATACTCCCCCTCCCCCCCCCACCCCAAACTTCTGCCTACAGTTGTATTCCATGGCATATCCTCCTGGGTTGGAGAAATTGGTGACTACTGGATGCCCCAATCTGTCACACTTTCTTTGTATGAACGTAAAAGCAGCATTCAAATACTACCAAGAGAGCCTCTGTAAGCCACCTTTCGAGCATTGAGCGACTGGAAGTTGACCTCTAGATATAATTCTGTCTCCAGTTTTGCTATTGCTTAAAAGCTTCAGTGTTCCTTTGGAGGTCTTTGCATTTAGAAATATGGTCACATAAAAGTTAAACTTCCAAGTAAAGACTTATTTTTCCCTTTTCACTTTAAATTAGTTTTTTAAAATATGTGGTTGATTTATCGGTTTGATATACATTTGTACAGGTATGTGGTGGAAAGGTATAAAGCAGGACTAATAATTCTGTCTCAGTGCCATGCGCGTTGCCTAAACTGAGTTGGAAAATTTACTAACTTGAATCACAGCTATGAAAATAAAAATGACCTGATCTTAGGCCATTCCAATTTGCCTTTCCTTTCTCTGCTGCTGCCTTGCCTCTTCAGTACAGTGTTGTGCTTGATCTTATTCCTGAAACAATGAATTTAAAATATTCAATGACATTTGAAGGGCCTTTTTTTATTAAAGGGCTGCTGTCAGCCCCTGAAGGTCACACATTTATCTTTACCTCCATTCCCGCAACCTTAGAAAATGCCTTTTTATATGTTTCAACTTCCTTATAATACATTTTGTCTCAGTACCAGATGAAATGGCATTTTCCTTTAAACTTTAAGTAGTACTTTCTTTAGGTAGTTTTCCTTTGGATGCAAAAAGCATCTAAACTGTACTTCTCGAAGTCAGGAGTAGTGTTGAAGGATGGAGATAGGGGCATTTGTCATAACCTTTTTTCAGGAGGATCAGTTCTTCAACCAGTTCGCTTGTTCCGCACTGAAAAGTATACTCCTATTAATTTCAAAACATATTATTTCTGAGTGAATATGTATAGGATTGTACTGCTAATTGGTAATGCAGCCTCAAGTTAGGCTGATTCAGTCTGATAATTACACTTGTGTTAAATGAGCCTAATTCATGTTGGAAGATGCCCTTCAAACATGAACCAGGGGGAACTAGCAGCCATATTCATCTGCTGGAGATTCTGGCTCAGTAGCTAGAACCTTTTGACCCATCACAGGTTTTGTAATAAAATTGGCATTGCCTACCACTTACAGATACAGAGCACAGGTGCACATA